GCAAGGTTCTCACTATGAAAGCGATTTACCGTGAAAGATTGGGTATCCAGAGTTGCCGAAAAGTTTTCCTATAGCTTAGCAGAGATTGGCGTCACTACGAAAGAGACTCTAGGGGAACACATTCCTGCATCGTCTCTATACCGAAGCTGTCGACGAATACATCTAAAATATTTTGCTGAGCCCGTTGGATGAAAGGTAGGCAACGAAAATTCTGGGTGTTGATACATCCCTCATCACGCTGAGTGGTCTTTGATTGCGCAAGCATTTACCAAGATACCTCTATTAAGCAACACCTGCACAAAGTATCCGATTTAGTTTATAGCTAAATTGGCGTCCTCGTGAGATTCAGAGTAAGTTCAGTGGGTGTAGTCCCTGACATCGAAGATATCTTTCATCAGGTGAAGGCTCCGAAAACAGATCGAAATTATCTTCGTTTTATATGGTGGCCGAAGGGACGATTCAATGCCCAGCCTAGAAGCTTTTATCCATTCGCAGCTACTTCATCGCCTAGTTGTGCCAGTGTCGAACTTTACCGAACAGTTGAAGACTGTGTCGGTGAGTTTCACGATGCAACGCTGACTTTGTTACTTGGGAGTTTAAACGTTGATGACTGTCTGTTCAGTTGCGATTCTACCGAGGAAGCTAAATCACATGTCTACTCAATTTATGACTACCGCATACCGAGGTTTCCATTTAACCGAACGGTAAAGCGAAGATCCCGATGCAAAATCCTCAAGGTTACAGAACGCAAACTGTAGCGAGTACCGCTTTAGTAAATTACAGTCTATAGATTTGCACGCGACACTTGAAGTTCAGTGAAATAGTTATGACGATAGGATAACTTTCCGTTTGGCAGAATATAAGGAAGACTGTGGGGTCATAGAAACGACCACACAGGGCTCGTCGCATCAGTTCTGCTTCCAGCAAAGCAACTGTTCGTCAGAATGAAGATGGACTAAGACGCGGTAATTGATGGTCAAGAGATAAAAGCGTGGTATGAGATTATTGCGGATATTAATCTTCTCGAGTTGATACATATTCCGCACTGAATTGAGCCGAATGAGCATTGCAGAGCCGAAATCATGTTGCATTGTTTCGCAGACGCTTCACAGTTAGGCCACAGTGTTTAAAGGGCAGTGTTTTGAAGAACCAAGACGGAATATGCTAGTAAAATTTCTGAGATAGGCGCTTTGCTTGCAAAACCCTTGAAGGATGAGTTGCACTTGTTGAAGCGTTCAATGCTCGTTTATCGGTACATGTACTCCTGTGGTGCACGAAATGTGCGTTGCACTGTGAAGTGCCTACCTCAAAGGATTCGCGATTACATTCCAGTCTGGTTCTACAAAGGCAAGATGAGATCTTCAAACAGCACTATTATGTCACACCTCTTTGATTTTGACCATGAAGCCTTTGGGGATGAAGGTTTCACGCAAGGCTTCCGCAAGCAGTTCCTATCCATTGCTGAGGCTATTTACATCCACCATCTAAAGCCTGAACTGTGTGCAAAAGCGATACATGAGTCTGTTACTACTTCCTTGGCCAACGGACAATGTTACCTAACCATTTAATTGCTGTCTGTTGTACCTATTTTGCTTTGCTTACCATATATAGCCTAAGCTTGAGCCATCGATTGACTGTTCGAACAACCCGGAAATCAATTTTCAGCCCGATTTGACGCCAACAACATCTAAGCTCTACCATGTAAACGTTTGTGTATAACACTCATTTGGTCTTGAGTTGATTACACAAAATCATCTAGGTCAAAAGTACCTAACCAATACTGAGTAGCAATCAGTGACTAATCGGGTAGTGATTGGTCAGTGAAATAGGCAAATTTTAGTCCTCGAGGTTCGTCGGTGTTTGCACCGACGGACATGAAGACGCTACTTACGTTCGACCATCGGTGCCTTCGCAGTTTGGCTCACATCTGGTGGGAACACCGCGTCAGTAACGAGCGTGTTCGACGCCTTGTTTACGGCCTAGGAAAAGGGAATGAACCGCTCAGCACCGTTATTTCCCGCACCAGGCTCCGATGGCTGGGCCATGTGTTGCACATGCCAGCCCACCGACTCCCTCGACGTGCGTTGTTTGCTCACCGGGGATGTGGGTGGAATAAAAGGAGAGGTGGCCAAGCGATGACTTGGTCCAGAGGAATGAAATCCCTCACTTCGGAGCTAGCCTCGATTGGAGCTTCACGGCTCCGTGGTTGGGGTCCAAAACACGGTGAACACGTTTGGCTGGATACACTTGCTGACATGGCAAGGAGCCGACCTCAGTGGCGTTCCTGCTGTGAGTTTCTTTGTCCCTCCCCATCCCTTTAGCCTCCCCCTCCATCTACGATCTTATTTCGTAGGGTAAAACGTAATTAAATTTTTGTTTTTGCCTAGTAGCCGGCTGGTAGCTTACCGGAACGAGGCCTATCCGTTGCTGGTAGCTCAGCTGGCATGCAACTGTCGTATTTATTTTTCCTTTATGTATTGTATGTATGTATGTATTTCCTTTATGTATTGCGGTACAATAGCGGAGGTGTTTTACCACCTCTAGCTGACATGTATAATGATGATGATGATGATGTAGTGACGGAGCCCCAGCCAGGTTGGGCGTCTGTACTGGATTACAAACATTAGTTGAACAAATTGCCCCTCACGCCAACTTTTAGCCATTTTATTGCACATCTTTATGGGTTAGCAGCGTAAACCCGTTCACATGCTTTGATGCACGCAAGCAAGCCGGTGATGAAAATTGTACATCTCATTCGCAGTAGTGCGGCAAATACAAGAGCTTTCAAAGAGTTATGCTATCTATTTAGAGGCAAATACGACGTACTGTTATCCAACTCCGACGAGATTCGGTTTTGACGAGTGCTCGAGTTTCGAGAAGTAATTGTTCAAAAGAGGCATTTTCTTTATTCGAATGATCGGAAGTAATTAAAAATAGTACACGTTTTGCTTTGTTTAAAGAAAAACGCAATGGTTAATAGTTAACTAGCTAGCTAAACTAAAATTTTCTAGGGGATAATTGTTTATAGTGAACCCGCTTTGTAGATAGCCTCAAGGAGGTTGAGAACTACTGCTCTTGAGGAATACGATTGTGTAAAAGAGAAAAGCTGAGGAGATGGTAAGAGGGACCGAAAGTTTTGCAGTTACAAGATTCGGAATGGATAGCAGTTACAGAAGGACCAACTGAACTCCCAAAGGGGTGGTTCAAGGGGGAAGAGGTTCGTATTAACCCAAACACAACCGAGGGTTCGTGGATGGACAAGTTCGCAAGATGCGAGAGGTGGACGATTATGACGCGTATGATCGCAACGTTTATAATATTTCAAACCTTCTTACTCCAAAGATGAAATCGATCATCAAGGGCAAACTTGACAGTGGGCCTAAAGCTGACGGAAGTTAATGAGGTCGACTTGAATGTTGCACAGTGCACAGCCACTGTTTTCGAAAGGAGATAGAAACGAATAACAATAGGAAGGGACACCTCGCAGTCGACAACTGAAACGAAACGCTGGCCCTATGCGAAACCTAAGACCGTTCACTGTGCAGAGGGTTGTACGAGTCGGAGGAAGGTGAAACTGATCAAACCTTCCTTACGAAACAAAATATTCCATTCTGTTGTTGTTGTTCGACCATTTTGTTACTCGCTTGCTGATTTTGCACTACCATGAGAAAAGTGGGCACGTGGGCACTGCCTACGTACTTTCGGAATGGTGACAAAGATTTTGGATCTTACGGGGTACATCAACCGAGCGGAAAGCGTTGCAGAGGTGTGGAAAGTGCAGGACATGGAATGCTACACCCTGTAGACAGCAGATGGCAACCGGCAAAAGAGACGGCGAATTTGAGTAACGTGTAAAGAATGTGGGACAAAGATGTGCGGTGTTGCCAGACTCTCAAATAACATCTCAACAAACTCTGACTCCGGATCACAACTTCAGACCAAAGTTTAGAGGGAAGATGAAATCACCAATAAAGCGGAAACACATCACGTGGTTGAAGAGATGCGGCAACCAATACAAACAACGACTTTGCGGACTGGGATATGCTATACCAACGGACAGTACGCAAAGCCTCAGATGGATCGAGCACCAGCAGTGTTCGCACAAACCAACTAGATATAGAAGATGCACCCACACGAACACGGTTACAGGACATTTCTATCTACCACATCCTTTACCTGACCAAAAGATACCACACACCCCTGGCACTCGTACAATATGTGTAATGGCAGTCTTCGGTGAAAACTAATCTCTCAGGAATATTCTGTGCCATGTGAATACACCGCAACGGAATCGCACACAAACTTGGTTAAAGCTCCCTACTGTATCCAACAATCCCACCACATGTCTATAATCAAGACTATTAGCATACATTTTTGTCATGCAGTTTTCGTGTTGCCATACACTGCATTGGTCTACTTCCGGAGTTCTCCTCAAAATGTTATGGTCCCGGTACCATTCATTAACTTGCTGCAGCCATCTAACAAACCTTGATTTGAGAGGATTGTCTTGTTCTCCGAGTCCGGCTCTGAGAACAGGTCAATCCTCTCATCCACACCCCGAGCTACAGGTATTCTCAATAATTTCCAAACCTTGACTTCTTGCTCCATTGAAGAATAGTACACAAAGATCAATCGTCCCACTGTGGGTGATGGTATTGGCCCTAATGACCAGTTCATCATGAAGCCCTAAGTGATTTCGGATTACGCAAGGTGCAGAAACAAGCAAAATTACTTGGATTAACGCCACTAAATGCGTCCAGAAGACCCTTATCATGAAGAGTAAATCTCGTTGATTGCCAAAACATTAGCATTCCCGCATTCAAAAACGATGTACTGTACGCAACAACCAATCAAATTATGAGCAGCGAATCTAATCCTTTGCCCAAGATCCAACAAAGGTGCTCCGTGGCAAATCAAGAGAGACTGAATATTGTGGACAAAGGTGATAAAACGCGGGGGATAAAACAAAAAGCAAATCGAGTCTTCAGCCGCATACTCACTCAAATGCACAGTTCGGACGTGCAATTTCAAAGTGTACCGTAACGTGAACGTTTGATTGCAGCGATCGCATTTATGAGGGCGGTGGTCTGGATTAACAAACAAAAGATGAGCAATTACAGGTGAAACACATGGGAAAACATGCGGAAATGGTGAACGAAATGCTATTAGGAAACAAGGCCTAAAGGATAGATGATAGAGTTGACAGTTGACTGGATAAAACTTCCGCTAATAATGTATAACAAGAGGAAAACGCGATGTAGAACCAAATCCGTAGGTAGCGATGACCTGGTACGAAGCAATCCTCAACAATCCTTGGATGCTACCCAAAAATTCTCAAAAGACATGTAGTAACCATGCCATGTAGAGGCATGGCCACTGCTCGTGCACACGACAGCAACGAATTAAAAGTATGCTTGCTTTTAAGCAAACTCCATTCCTGCGAACTAACAGTCAAGTGTTGTGCGGAACCGGTGCACGATTCCAATGCCATGGTTAAATTTTTAGTCTCATTGAGTCATTTCAAGGGTCTTGCAAATGAAGGACGTGCATGTTAATAGTGTTGGTAGGTTCCAAATCAATCGTGCCTCTCATATGCATCGCTAGTAGTCTCGGTCTTTGAACTTTATGCTGGATATGAGGGGTGTGGATGGAGCTGTGGGTTGTGCAGTGGAAGTAGGTGCAGGCATCCTGCGGTTATCAACAGTCTCATTGACAGTCAAATCCGGAAAAAGATGCCACCAAACACATATACGATCAGACCCAATAAGACAAGGAGCGGCCATCTAGGGCTCCATAGGATATGAAGCATTCGCATGGATGAATCCGGCAACGAAGTTCCACTAATTTGTCGCAATAGTCTTTGAAGATAGTGCACAGATAGGTGAACTATCCAAATACAGCAGCGTGTTGAAGGAGGTGATATCAACAGATGAAACTGCATCAATTGCGAAACAGTGTAATGCAGGCTAGGTAACAGATCAGGAACCTGTTGGACAACATGATCGGTGATCCGTCGGTGGCAGCTTAGGTGATATAAGAACAGGATAAGTAATAGGCAATTGACTGATTTCAATAGCTTCAAAGAAGCAGTGGGATAGGGCAAATATCCCCATCGTCTGTTCGACTAAATTATTGTTCGATTACGGCTGCATTAAGATGTCTGGGCAATCTTTCAGGGGTTAATGTGATCCTTCTCTATCAGTGGAAACAGCGCAAGAAAATAAAAGTGGGTGGAAACAACCATAAAAAAGCACAACATCTGACGCACAGCACCACGCGAAACAGCAGTCCGTTAAGGAAAGTATGAAGAATCAGATGCACATACAAAAAGATTGATAACACACACAAAAACAAGTACTCACTCAGATGTACTGCGTCAATGTGGACTCGCAAACAACTCTGCCAAGCGAAGCGTTTGCCACAATGAATACAGCTGTAGAGTTTCTCTTCTGCAACAGCATAGAAATGTCAATAAAGAAAGGGTGTAAACATGGTAAGGAACGGGCGTCGATTGATGCAGAATGCTTCTAAATCAGTCAGTCAACATAACATGTCTCCCAGGTTATGAGAATCACACAAGGGAGCTGCGACCGACACATAAGGTGAGCGGTGGCTCTGAGTATCCTGACGGCGTTCCAGAGATCAGTGCATGCGAATTTTACAAGAACAAAAGCTGTGTTGAACATGTAATGACTTGGTGAGGCAGCTGCCATGATCTACGTGGAGAATCATGCGAAGGATGGATCTGAAGAGTGGCAAAATAATGACTGCAGGTGCACCATCCATCACACAGTGCTCAACTATGTACTAGCGTAGTAACGATTCCCATTGTCAAACATCAACGCCTCAAGCATCTGTCCGGCAGTTGTCGGACTACCAAATCAAGAACTTGCATTAAAATGCTGGCACCACTACTTGCCGAAATCGGATGTGAGGGTTCACACACTCATCGTCAAAGCATCCGACACATTTCGTCGGCTGCTGGTCGGTTTTTTGCTTCTAAAAACAGAGTTGGTGTGCGGGTAAGCACGCTGAAATGGATCGTAACAAGAAAATCACGGTGCCCAGATATATCGATGTCATCACTCGGTCAAATATCTCCGAACCCATCATCATAACGATCATCACCACCACTATCATCAGCCGACTGCGAATAGCGTCGTCCGAGCTGTATTTTGATCGGGTCATTGTCAGTTCACATTGTTGTTTACATTGATAAGGTCGTTTTATCCCCCTAAATTGTTGTGTAATTCAGTCACATTAGTGATTTTGAATTATTTCATCATAAATATGAGTGTTGGTTAAGTGCATTTTCTGTGACTCTACATCACCCTGTTTCAGTCGTGTCGATCAGTAATTATTTTTGAAATGGAAAAGCAGACGTCCTGTTGCTCAAAAGTCGTTGGACATCGAGCTAACGTAAGTAAATGCAGTTTACGCAGCGTAGTCACACATTTCATGCATCCTATGGACCAATTTGCATAATTAAAGAGATTCAGAACGAATTTTGAAGACCATTTGTAAGCAGTGTTAGTATAAGCTTGCGCCAAAGAACGCCGAAAAACCAAGTAAAGGGGTCAGTAGAGTGAAGTGCTATGAAGTACGCGGCTCCATTTGATCTGGTCCTGCAGAGACTGAAACACGCAACCTTGTGGCTCACTGTATCGTACATTATGGTGTACCTTGTGCTATAACAAATGATCGCCGAGCACAGGTTGAGTAAACACTATCGAGTTAGTTAATACTCTCGGAGCCAAGCGAATAAAAAAATGCGCACCATCCAACAGCGAACGCGTCGCTCAAACGTTTATATCGCCACCTAAATCATTTTTGATGACGTTTCCGATATCATACGTTGGACCAAAACTTTACCGAGGGTTCTGTTAGGTCAGCGAACAACATCTAAAGTCGAGTTAGACTGCTCTGCCACAAAGCTGGTATCCGGTACTAAGTTAAAACTTCCGCCTAGTCTCGTTCAACACAATCGACGTCTATGCTGTAGATCCTTCAAATGTTCTCCATCGCTCAAGCTCATCGATGAGGAAATTGAAATTTGCTGACATATGCATGTAAAATAACAGCGGTTAGATACCAAACAGTTGACAACTTGTTCACATGTGTGATTTTAATATAATGCAGTTCGCAGGCCACTACAGCAAGCGCAAAAAGAGACATTTGAGGTGATCACGAGAGAAGAAAAATACAATAAGATCAGAAATGGGAAAGTCAATGTCAGTTCTGTAGACCGTATTAAGTCAGCATTTAAAGAACAACCTTGCGAAGAGCAAGCAACAGATATTCGAAACACAATATGTACACAGCAATAATCAAATCTCGTTGAAATGGACGTATAAGATCTACTATCAAACGTTAAGACGAAAGAAGACATTAGTACAAGGCAAACACGGTCAGCAAGGAGAGTCTATTTCCCAGACCGCTGTGTATTATGTATCTTGACAGTGTCATTTTGTGTTGATGCCAGTTTTCTTTAGCTTGACTTTTTCCGGCAGCCTCCAGGACGCGAAAATACATCTTTAGCCAGACAAAGAAAAACAGGATTGTCCTGCGTACTAAGACCAGCACCGACATTTCAAATGCCAATGCTCTGAGTCCCAAATTTTGCTCTGTACCTTCGACACACCATTTAGCCCGCATGCTTCCCTACCTCAGCTGCATTAATGCATGCTAGCTGAGAGAAGGAAACACACCTAAGGTAATGGGTCGCAACACCAAAAAGATAAGATACTAGGAGTTACAGACTAAAAAAGTTCAAAAAAAGTAAGGGCATAATAAATCTCATCTCATGCATATGAGGTGAGGTATTATTTGGAGAGGAAATCTAAAAAGGCCGGGGAATAGACAAAAACGCATAACACAAAGCGATAACATCCAGTACATAAAACCAAACATGACCATTGTCCTTAGGACCCCGATTCGGCAGTCTGAAGACAAAAACCGACGCCAACTTCGAAGTGAGGGTTTTCATTTATCGCGACCAACTCATCGCTTGACCTACCCTCCTCCCCTTCCATCCACACGCCGAGCACAGCTTTTTTTGTTCTTACATTAATATGTTGTGGGGGCATATAAATAATCTATTTCTGAACTCAACACATAAGAAGTTCCCCCAAAACCTATCAACTGTGATTGCGTGAGTTGAAACTAGAAGACAAACCTGTACCAAAGGTGGTTGGAAGAAAAGCAAGAACTCGGTGATTGAAAAGAGGGTGTTAAAACTGACGATGATGAACGGTAAGAAGTGAAAACGTTAATATAGAGAATAAGAAGGCGGAGTGATCCGGGTATTTGCATTCTCATTCCAATCCACTCTACTCGATGCAGCAGACATGGAACTGATGATTATCTTTTGTGACGGCCAGAGCATCAAAAAATCAGATGAGGAGTTTAACATTGGATTAAGTGGACAGGTTTTTGTCAGGTTGATCGGAACTAGACTACAGAATGATTAGGGTTTCTAACCATAACGTATGCTTCATAAAACCAGACGGCAAAGAGACAGGATTTTGGCACTGGATTACAGAGAGTTCGCTTTATGAAGTAGGTAATCTAACTCACAGTGAAATTAGTCTCATTTGCGTTGCAATGTTCGCTGCCCTGCTTTTAAGGAGCCTCAGCCTGGTACGCGAAAAGCGAATTAGGTTCAACGCTTGCCGGAGCTGTAACGATCACATCTTTACTCTCCAACAAATCCTCCAACGTCATCAAACATTCAACAGGCCAAGGAGCGTTGTTTTCTTAGACATACGAGCCGCGTGACTCAGTCAACAGAGCTGCTATCTGGAGCGGTCTTTTGAGAAGGAGAGTGCCTGAGAGATATCCCAATGTGCTTCGAGCCACTTACTCTCGAACCCCGAGAGGAGGGCGTGTGCACGGCGGACTTGCGCGCCCTTTTAGTATCACCAGTGTCGTGAGACAAGGCTACTTAGCATCACCTTTCCCGTTCCATTCCGCTATGGATGACATCTTGGGGAACGCTTTGGAGAACTGTGGATTCAGTAGCGTCAAGCCGCTTCCGGCGGGTCGACGCTGCGATTTAGAGAAGGCAGAGAACATCGCCGAAATCGAGATTAATCACAGACTGTCAAAAACGGCTATGTAGTTGTAGTTGTCTGTCTCCCAGTTTGGAATAACCATCGCCCGTTCGAAGTGCAAGATTTACATACAGAACTGGCTGGAAGCTGCTCCCACTTTTACGCTTTCCGGTCACTCTCTGGAAGTGGTAGACAAGTTCTTTTCCCTGGGAAACTCCATCGACACTAACGGTTTAACGGATAAGGTCTCTTGGTGCGTCTCTAAGGCCCGCGTTGCACTTGAAACTCCCGACAGCTCTGGCGTCGACGCAACCTGAGCCTCTGCTTGAAAGGCTAATTCTACAATGCACGGTGAAAGCAGTCCTGCTCTAGTTGCGAGACTTGGCCCATTCGTGCAAAGGACGTTATAGGCGGTCTGGCCTGGATTACCGCTGCCTTCGGAGCATTGCTGATGTACGGTGGTGACATCACATTAGTAATGAGGGATTCAAAGTTGGACTTTGAGGACCAGCTGTGTGATTGCATTGAGAGGCGCAACTGCTAGTGAGACGTCGGTCATCCCAATTGCAAGGAGGGGATGATTTACCGAAGATTTTCTGATTAGATATAAGTTTCGGGCTGCTGAGTCGCAGCTGGAGAGCACGCCGACGATTTCGCGGTTGGCCAGTCAGATGGTACACAAGTCCACGGAAATATTTCGTTGGCGGCATCCAGTTTCGGATTTGCCTGTCACTGTGGCCAAGCACAGGATGCCTGCACTGGCTTGCGTTGCACCACGCACAGTTAAATCCACACACACCCCATATCCAGTGTAAACTCGAAGGAATAAGACCGGGAGGCATGTAGATGGGAGCCACAAGGACCATGTACGCTGTGCCCCTCCAGCAACGACCAACTGTCTTTTAGAGCCAGTGTGGATGAGGGTAGTGGGTAATAGACAGGTATGCACCTTGTCAACATGCACATCAACGGCAGCCACACCGGGGACATCAACCAACAGGCAATCACTTGAGACGACGATATCAAATAAAATAAATCGAATAATGCATACAAACACGGTGACATAACTCATCAATAAATGAACGTTAAAAATAAATAGTTTACAAGACGTTAGAAAATATATTTTAAGAAAATGCTACAAAACGCTTACATGTTATCGAAGTTAACTAAAGTAGTTTAAGGGATGTGTTCAAGTTTATAGCTAGTACGGGTAGACTCAATATGAGACATTAATATGAGATAAAAAAAGCATTAGGACAATATAGCAAACACACCACCTGAATTAATGAGACTCAGCATGCAAGCATGCAGCGTAAGTACAAACGATGCGCCTGTTTGTTTACTTTACTGCAGGATCCATCGACGTTATGGCGTTGGCCTCGAGTGATCTGGCTCAA